GTCGTGTGTAGACGTCGAGGAATGATAGGATGATAGGTTCTGTGTAAGTGGTGTAAGTGTGGAATTCAGTAAGTGAAGTCAGGACTGCAGGCAATCTGTGTGCGCACGTGCTCGAGCCGATGCGGAGGATGAGAAGGATGCCGGATGGTGGCGCTGGTGGTGAGGATCCGCGCGCCTTGAGAGCGCGCTAATGCCAGCGCTTACGCTCGTGGGTATCCGCTGGCAACTGCACGAATGCAAGAAATGATACTCTCCTGAAGCTGGTCACTTGCCGGGTGGTCGGGTATGCGGCCGCTTCATCATGAAATATGTACCAGAAGCGACGGCGATGGAGATGATGATAATGGTGATGGTCATGGTGGTGGTGATGGTGATGGTGATTGTGATAATGATGATGATGACGATGTTGATGCTGATGCTGATGCTGATGATGCTGATGATGATGGTCATCATCATCATCATCATCATCATCATCATCATCATCATCATCATCATCAGCAGCAGCAGCAGCAGCAGCAGCAGCAGCAGCAGCAGCAGCATCATCACCATGTCCATGGCCAGATGCGAATGTTTCCTTATCCTATCGCATCCCAGTGAACGCACTGGGAACGTTGCACAACCTACCCTCGGTCCTGTGAAATTTGACCATGTCTCGACGTCTCTCCGCAAGAACTCCACGTTGAGCTCGAGCACGGCTAGGTCAAGCGAGGTAGCACTGCCGGTCAGCCTCACACTTTCCAAGACAAGCTCATCTCTGGTGACTTTGCCAACTGTATGTCTTAATGCCATGTTGATTCGAAGCAGTAGCGATCGTAATAGCAATGGTTATGTTGATGTGCTGTGTTATGCTACTATATGTCATGCTATCATCTTCTGTGATCTAGTAAGTGTGCCATGCTATGTGCTGTAGTGGTGCTGTGATCTGCCATGTCATGTTCGGCCGTGTGCTGTTCTGTTATGCCCTGTCCTGTTCTGATCCCTTCTGCTCGTCGAAGGCGCGGGGGGGGCGATCACATTAGGATCATCGAGGCCCCCTGGTCCTGGTGGCCCCGGGGCTCCTTCGGCCGCGGCAATGAAGGCGCGGGGGGCGGGATCCTCGGGGACCAGCGGTGGCCCCCGGGGATCTTGGCGCCCGCGGCCTGCGGAGCGGGCGGGCCAGGGGTCCTGTTCTTCGGACCGATCGCACCTCCTCCTCCTCCTCCTCCTCCTCCTCCTCCTCCTCCTCCTCCTCCTCCTCCTCCTCCTCCTCCTCCTCCTCCTCCTCCTCCTCCTCCTCCCCCCCTTCCGCCCAAGCCTGCCGAGGGGGGGCGCAAACAGAGGCCGGGAAATATGCGTTTCCGCCTGAGGAGCGGGCCCGGGGCTCTCTCGGGCGGGGCTACAGGCATCGGGTGGGACGCAGCCAGGTCGGCAGTACATGCAGTCCACCCGTATAGCGACGATGCGCGATAGAAGGATGCAAGGGCCTTGGACGCCCACGCCGAAGCTCTTTTCGAGCGGGGCGCGGCCCACGAAAGTGGCGAAGGATGGACCGAGGAGGCAAGGATGCAGGGGTATCCTTGGGAGGGTTGCCCATCCTTGCCATGCGGTATGACTGTGATTGGTGGACACGCACGCCGCGCTGGAGGCAAGCGGAAGCGATCAGGACGGCGGGCACGGCGCAGATGCAAGGCATGCGTGAAGCGGGGCAGAACTGCACAGCGGAAGCTGCAACGCGAAAGCTCAAGCACTGACACATCGCAGGGAGCCTGCGAGGCGCCCTGGCGCAGCAGCGTTCCGCGGGCTCGCCGTTGCGGCCCGTGGCTCGCCGAGGGGTCAGCAAGCGGGGGGGGACCGTTCGTCCTGTCGGACGCAAGCAGGTGGAGAAGGTACAGGCCCTGCACGACAAACCTCTTCTCTGATGCCTCGGCTGGGTTGGGCTCCGTGGACTTGCAGCCCTGTTCCTCCTGCCCACTCCTCCTCGCCCCTGGCCCACTATCCTACTACTCTGTCTCTCTCTCTCTCTCCCTTTTTTTTTTCTCACTCTCTCTCTCTCTGTCCTCGTCCTCCTGGCCACATCCCCTCTGTCCTCGTCCTCGCCCTCCCGGCCCCATCCCCTTCTTGCCCTCCATCTGTCCTCGTCCTCTCCCTTTTTGTCTACTCCCCGTCCCTGCCCCTCCTCATCCTCGCCCCTGATCTTCCTCCTGCTCCCTCCTCCTCCAACCAGACTGCGCAGGCCCGGAAGGAAGGGAGGGAGGGGAGGCGTAGGGAGCAGGTCGGAGGGAAGGGGGAGGGGGAGGGAGGGGGAGGGGACGGACGGGAGGGGGAGGGGAGGGGGAGGGAAGGTGAGGAGGAGGGATGGGGGAGAGCAGAGCGAAGACGAGGGAGAAAGACAACAGGAGTGCATTGCCCGGCTCCCTCTTCCTGCCTCCCCCTCCTCCAGGGCTCCGCCCCCTTCCCGTGGCCCCCCGCTCCCCTTGCCCTCCCTCCATCGTGCAGTCCCGTGGCTTCCCCTCCGCTAGGAGGAGGAGGAGGAGGAGGAGGAGGAGGAGGAGGAGGAGGAGGAGGAGGAGGAGGAGGAGGAGGAGGAGGGAGGAGGAGACGGAGGAGGAGGGGGAGGAGGAGTCTCCTCCCCTCGGGGGCTCCTTCCGTCCCCCCCAACCCCAGGCACTGAGGGCCCCGCCTCGCCCCCCAGTCCCCCCCCCGACGCCCCTGCACGAGGCCTCCGTGCGGGAGGAGAGCCAGCCAAGGGGGGGGGGAAGAGGGAGGGCAGCGAACATAGGGAGAGCTCAGGAGGAGGAGGAGGAGGAGGAGGAGGAGGAGGAGGAGGAGGAGGAGGAGGAGGAGGAAGGAGGATTCAGCATTCAGCATTCAGCATGTGGCGAGTCCTGCACGTGGGGGACATGTCCCAGGAGGAGGAGCAGGAGGAGGAGGAGGAGGACCAGTGTAAACCCAGGAGTCATCAACGATGTTGGAATAAACACTTCCTCCAAGCTCCCTCTTCATAGGCCCCTACAGCGGTTCATTCGGGAGTCCAACGCCACGGATCAACCTGACTGTTGCGTCTTGGCGATCCTGAATCGTGCCAGTACGCCATTCCTGGGACTTCAACACCGCGAATCAAGGTAACTGTTGCACACTCATAATCGTGTTTTTTGAAAAACCTCATTTCTGTTACGCTTATTATGGGCTTCCGTGAAACTCTTGCGAAAATTCGAAACGAATGTGCGCGGCGCTGAATCGAGAGCCACATTTTGAAAAGGAATCGCCCCCAAACCGTATACATCTTGCATTTGTTTGAAAAAACAAAAACAACAAAAAAAAAAACGAATGTGCGCGGCGCTAAGGCGAGGGCCACATTTTGAAAACGATCCGCCCTCAACCCGTGAAGCTCTTGCATTTTTCTTAACGAATGCGCGCGGCGCTAAGGCGAGAGCCACATTTTGAAAACGGCCCGCCCTCCATCTGCGAAACCGTTGCCAACTGTAAGCTTCAGGGTCAGGAGTGGTGAGGAGGTCTCGGGCGAAACGCCTGGCCCGCACTAAAAAATGGCCTCGCAGTGCGACAGGGAGAAGTTATCTAGAAGAACAAGGAATGGAAGGAGGAGGCGGGGGAGGGGGAGGGGAGTGTGGGAAGCGAGGAGGAAAAGGAGGAGGAGGAGGAGGAGGAGGAAGAGGAGGGGGGGCGAAAACGACCCTCCCCTTGAAAATGCGCCGAGATCCGGAGCGGCACGCGCAGCAGCAGGCTCCCGACCGCACCCCGGGCTCGAGGGCGCACGCCGGCGGGCGCAGCCGCGCCTGGGCTGCGACGACCGCGGCAGGCTCACGCCGCGTCGACCCCAGCGTTGGCTCCTGACACCGCGGGGATCGTTCAATCAACCTTTGAACGATCGGCCTTTTCTGAAGCTTCCGATCGCTCAACATCGGCCGATCCTGGGTCGCCGGCGGCGTTCAACGTTGAACGCCTGCGGCGGGGTCGCCGCCGGTCGACACGACGCGAAGCTACCGTGCGGAGGAGGAGACTCGGAGGCGGCCCGGGGGGTCCGAGACGGCTAGGCCCAGAACAACTCGGTCGAGAGGGGGGTGTGTGGAGGCCGATTCGCCCAAGGTCGGTCCCTCCACCCCCTCCGAGGGTCGAGACCGACCAAGTGCTCGAACCGCGCCCAGCCGTGGCGACGAGGGGGCCCCGTGATCCCCCCATTCCTAAGGAGGCCTCACGGATGGGCTCCGAGCAGATGGGGTTTGAGGATTGCACCGCATCATCGATGCAGCGGCGATCTACTGGCAATGAATCGGCGACGTCGGCGATGCATCGGCGGATCATCGGCGTGGAGAAATTCGGGCTCCATATCGAGACGCATCGGCGATGAATCGGAGATGCATCGGAGATGCGACGCTGTCCTCCGCCCCCACCTGCTCCGAACTCGTCTGGGAGGCCCAGATGTCTAGGAGGAGGAGGAGGAGGAGGAGGAGGAGGAGGAGGAGGAGGAGGAGGAGGAGGAGGAGGAGGAGGAGGAGGACCCCCCCAGCCGTCTCCAGGAGGGGACGAGCCGATCGTCGTGGAGATCGAGGAGCACTCTCGCGCAGGCGCCCCACTGCCTCGGTGGCGGCGGAGCTTCGAGGGGAGCAGGCTGCAGAGCGAGGCGGAGGCAACAAAAGAGCGCAGAGCACCGTGCACCCCGAGATCCTCGCGCCGTGAAAAAAAACATGACGATGGGACGCGTTCTGCAGTGTTCGGCCTCGGGATCCCTGGCCGGGCGCCGTCGAGAAGCGACTCGGGACGAGAAGCCGTTCCCAGGGGATGGGTGGAGACCCCTGGGGGGTCGACGCCGTGGGGAAAGAATCACGGAGAGAGCGTGATCCACCGCCGCTCTACTGTGGAAAATTCACCCCCCTCTTCCTCCGGAACCCGGGGGTCCCTCCCCCCCCTCCGTCCCCCCCCCTCCGAAAATCCCCCCCCCCTGCTGGACCCCCCCCCTCCCCCGGCAAAACCCGCCCGTCTCACCCCCCCCCATCTGGACAACC